ACAAGGTCCCTTCCAACTCTGTTAATCTGTTAATATAACATGTCCAAGAACACCGCTTGTTGGGGACTCTTTATTTTCTATCTCTACCTTCCAACTCTGTTAATCTGTTAATATAACATGTCCAAGAACACCGCTTGTTGGGGACTCTTTATTTTCTATCTCTACCTTCCAACTCTGTTAATCTGTTAATATAACATGTCCAAGAACACCGCTTGTTGGGGACTCTTTATTTTCTATCTTTACTTTCCAACTCTGTTAATCTGTTAATGTAACATGTCCAAGAACACCGCTTGTTGGGGACTCTTCATTTCTATCTCTATGTTCCAGCCACTGCGGATATGATGTCACAACGTGATTTAAAAAAAAAAACTTTCCGGTGGCCTCAGTTTGTCTGGTCCACGTGGGTGCTGCTAGCTATCCTGTACCGGGAAGATGGAGCCTTTAGACCGTGTGGTGTAAGTACCGGGTTTTCAGCACTGATCCGTTTTGAGTCCTTTTTTTCCCCTTTGGGGTTATTAAATGAAAAGCATTTCTGGGTTCGTAAGGGCGGGGGGGGGGAAGCATTTGTGTAATTTGGAAATGATATGCACAGGCTTTTATCAAGTTGGTGCGAAAAAAAGAAAAAGCCGGTTTTAGGCTTGCGGTTAAGCTTGGCATGAGATTTCACGGGTTCCTCCCGAACTCCCGCCACTTATCTTCGGTTGGTAGAAATCTGTTTGTAGCAAGCCTAAATATAGCGGTCTTAAACGACCAGCCAACGGTCAGTTTTCCCCGACTTGGTGTGAGGTCTACAACTCTGCGGGTGTTCACTTCGCTAATAATAGGCTTTGCGGGAAAATCACTAAATATCTTGAAACGGGGGAGGGGGAATCATTGCACTATATAATAAGAGGAAACATTGAATTTCTTGGTGGGATCCAGCTAAACTGCAGGGTTGTTGTTTTTTTTATTAAGGAATGTTTCTTAATTTTAAGACTTTCGGGATCAGGTGTGTGTTTTCTCTTGAGACGTTGCAGTTACATTTCAAATGAAGTGAAATGAATGAATGCTTATTTGATAGGTACTACTACCAATGGTGCATGTATGTATGCCTCTCCATGTTTTGGGGTATGGGCTAATTTTACAGCAGACAGATATGAAATACAGTAGTTACAATCTGACAATTCTTTATTGGCCAAGTGTGATTGGACACACAATCTGACAAGTTTGTAAGTTCCTTTTGTTTCCTGCTTTGTTTCAAACCCTCTGGCTTTGGGATGTTTTGGTTTCGTGCTGGTGTTTGGATGATTACAAATTTGGGTTCTATTTTATTCACTGGTATATCAAATAAAGTTAGTAATATTCTTGGAGAGAATGGTGGTAGTTCTGATGGAGAATTATTTTTTCAACTTGCAAAAGAGGAATCCTGAAGCAGATGATGTATAGTTGTACTGGTTTCCCTGAGTGAAATGAAGTGAGGAATGAAGAGATGATGTGGGTGTGTAGTACCTATGGCAAGAGGTCATACTACCACAAACCAAGATAAGATATGCTGTTTTTCATCTTTGCAGTATGTAGTATCTTAGTTGGAGAGAAGAAAAACATTGGTCAATTAGAAAGGGGAGATTCCAGGAATTATATTGCAACTTAGTTTTAATTTTTCAAACACTTAGATTGTCTCTTCCAGAGATATAAACAATGTATGTTGCTTTAAAATAGAAAACAATAATTAAATTATTGGCAGGCATAGAAAGAATGTGAGCAAGCTTTCCATTCTTTTCTTTCTTTCCTTATGCAGAAATAAAATTTAAACCATGGAGGAGGAATAAATATATTCAACTTTATTTTGCCCAATTCTTGAGAATGAATTGGAGATTGTAATTTCAGATAAATTCTGTCCAATTGGTAAAAAAAAAAAAGTCACATAGCCAATAACCCAAGGTTGGGTTTTACCCATTTAATGCATACTGTACAATACAGCTTATAATAATGTTTTTTTTTTTTTAAATACAAACCGAAACATCCAGACAGGGATCAAAAACCCAGCCTTGGCAACCTGGTTTGAATCAGGCTATTCTCCTATGTGCTGCTCCGGGAATCCAATCATGGGTTAACTTAGCCTTCTAGCCTTGAGACTGAGTATGTAAATTTCAAAGTCACGCCTCCTCTGACTGGACTTCCGTTTCCCTCCAGTTCTATTACTCAGTCCAAAGCCTACGAGACCTATTTTC